CACCACGCAGGGCCACGGGACTGGGGGAGGGCCCCACCCCGCCACTAACAAGACACCTGAGCCCAGTGTAAAGTAAACAGGCAGTGACAAGACAGGTGAGAGTGCCTCAGTGAGAGGCTGTGGGGGTCACAGGGAGGGCCGAACCCCAGCCCCAGCCCCAGCCCCAGCCAGGAAGGTCAAGGAAGGCCTCCTAGGCTGTTTTAAAGACTAGTGGTAATTATCAGGGGAAAGGATTTGATTTGGGGGGCGTGTGCTGGGAAGGGCATTCCAGGCAAAGGGGCAGTCTTTCCCTGGCAGTGAGAGAGAGCAGGGCTGCCCTGGGATCTGCATGCAGCTGCGCCTGGCAGGGCCTCAGGTGTGCGGTGATGCCTCATGGGACATGAGGCAGGAGACACGGGCCGACTCAAGGCCGTGCAGGACCACGGGCCTTATCTTTCCCCTTGTTCTTATTCTAGGGCTATGTGCTGAGAGGCTGGGTGGACCTCACCTCAGACAAGCCCCACACTGTGAAGAAATCCATCAAGTACCTGGAACAAGGAATTCAGGACACCAAAGATGTGCTGGGGCTGATGGGAAAGGTGGGCAGTGTGGAGAGAGGGGTGGGAGTTGCCCTAACTGGGAAATGAATGGACCACTTCTGGAATTGGCAAGTGCCCAGGGACCCCAGCTCTCTCCCTAAGGGGCAGCCCTCACGTGGCCTCGCTGAAGCCCAGGCCTGCTCAGGGCTCACCCATCTCCCTGGAGCCCCTGCCCTGCCCACCCTGAGCCCAAGACTGCTGTGGACCTGGGCTGGTCACTGCATGCCCAGGTGTCAGGCTCTGCTCATGTCCTGGTGGAGATACTGACACCCCCCCCCCTGCATGGGCCCCGATGGAAGCTCTTCTCTTTGGCTCCTACAGGCGACATACCACATGACGCAGCAGAACTACTCCGGAGCCCTGGAGGTCGTGAACCACATCACCGTCATCTCGGGGAGCTTCCTGCCCGCCTGGGTCCTAAAGATGAAGCTGTTCTTGGCTCGGCAGGACTGGGAGCAGACGGTTGAAACAGGATACAGGTGAGGGGCAAGGGGCAACCATGCCACTAATATGTTCCCATCATACCAGGCGGGGAGATGGGAGATACTGTATATTTGGTGGAACAAGACAGAAGTAAAAATTGTCACTAGAGGAGTCGTGAGTACTGATAGCATCTTCTCAGGAGGGGAGGAGAGGGAGAGCACCTACCTGTCCTGGCAGGAAGCCAGCAGCTGTGGCCTGCCATGGACAAATCAAGAAACAGGCATCTCGTGAGGTATGAGCTTATTATTTAGAGGACAGATGGAGGGAACTACCTATAGAACCCAAAGCAGCAGGAGTTACAGGGCAAGAGCAGTCATCACTGAGGTGTGAGGGATAGGGGACTGTATTTCTTAATTTTTTTAAACTATGGCAATGGGCCCGGCCGGTGTGGTTGAGTGTCGACCCAGGAAGCAGGAGGTCACAGTTCGATTCCCCATCAGGCGCATGCCCGGGGTGTGGGCTCGATCCCCAGTAGGGGGCGTGCAGGAGGCAGCCGATCAATGACTCTCTCATCATTGATGTTTCCACCTCTCCCTTCCTCTCCCTTCCTCTCTCTGAAATAAAAAAATAAAATAAAATAAAACAATAAACAAACTATGGCTATAATTTACTTTAATAAAAACTTTAGGGGAAAAGGCCATTGGTGACTGAGAGAAGACTTTTAGTTTGGGGCTGGGCCCGACAACAAGACAGTGGAGGTTTCAGGAGTTACTGGGACTGTGGAAGCCCCAGGCCAAGAGTAGGGTGGTCTGGAAGCACTTTCACTGTGAAGAGAGAGAAAGACCGCTTCAGGGGAGGCATATCTGATGGGACGTTTTCTGAGGATGGAATTTTCTAGAGAACTGAAGCTTTTCTTTTTAACGCTGTAACTGTTTTTATCAAGTAATAAATTCTATGATAATATACAGCGCAGCCCCGAAGAAAACAAAACACAAGCCTCTTCCTTCGCTGTGAAGGGAGGGGGAGTCCTCCAGAGAGGAGTGCAATTTGCGCCTCCTAGAGAGGGGGCTGTTAGGAAATTGAAAGGGATCCCCCCCTGCTCAGCCTGCAGGGCCCCACAGGTGCAGTCGCTCAGCGGGCCCTCAGCGTCCCTCTCTTCGTTGACACCTGGCCAGCGTCCTTGGCAGGAGCTGGATCAACAGCTGGGTTTGGTGCCTTGGGCCTGGGCCAGCAGGCTACCTAGAGGCACCTGGCTGGAGGGCACACCCGCTGGTGCCCGCAGCCACTCGCCCGGGCCCTGCCGCCCGCACTCGCAGGGAGACAGGGTTTGCTGCCAGTGGCTTGAGCCTAACCCCCTGACACCTTCCTCCACGGAAGCCTCCCGGCTGCTGGTGTTCACAGAATTCTCCCACTTGTAAATCTCTGCTGCTTCTGGGTGCGTTTCTCTTGTCATCCCCCATATTATTTATTTATTCTCTCCTCTTATTTTTCTTCACCAGTGTTAAAATAATGTGTCTCTTTTGTCTTATGAAAGAAGCAGCTTTGAGTTTTGTTGATGCTATTATGTCTTTGTTTTCTAATTTATTCATTTCTGCTCTTTATTATTTCCTGCCGACTTCCTTTGGACTTATTCTGTTGTTTTTCTCTCTTTTTAAAAAAAAAATGTGTTTGGTGTTTGGGGATTTTTTTATTGATTTCAGAGAGAGGAAGGGAGAGGGGGAGAGATTGAGCCCCCAACCTGGGCATGTGCCCTGACCCGGAATCGAACCATGACCTCCTGGTTCATAGGTCGATGTCCAACTACTGAGCCACGCTGGCCGGGCTTTCTCTAACTCTTGAGTTGGATGCCCGGCTCCTCCATTCTCAGTCCCTTAGGATATAATCATTTCATTCTATGGCTGGCCCTTGAGATTTTAGCAGTATCTACACATTTTTATGTGTAGTATTTTTAGTATCATTTGGTTCTAAGAACTTTCTGATATCCATTCTGATTCTTCAGACCATAAGTCATTTAAAAGTTGTTTTTAAAAAATTTCCAAATGTATGAGGTTCACAGTCCCTTCACAATCCTTGTAAATGGTTAGAACTCCTTGAATGTGGGCTCTGCCTAATCTCGTTGGAATTTTACATGTTAAGTAGCATGACCCTCTATTAAACAGAAGGCCATTCCCTGGCCAGACTGAAAAATATGAAGTTTCCTATAAAGAAACAGAATATTGAAAAGCCCATAATAGGATCAGAAACTGCCTCCACAATGACACATGATGGGAACCAAGGTGTCCCTTCCGTCTTCCAGCCGCACCCACCTCTCTGTGCTCCCTCCACCCCAGACCCTGGTACCATGTTCACGTCTGTGTTAGTCGGGATTTGAATAGGCTTCTTTCACAAAGACACCCCAAAATACATGACTTAAATAACATAAAAGGTTGTTCCCCTCTTAGGGAAAAGTCTGGGTGGTGGTCCAGGGCTGTAGGGCCCCAGGCCCCCCCCCCCCATCTCGCTGCTC